AGATGACTTGATGTTTGGATACCTGTAAGAATATGTCGGTGTTTTGTAGACGGTAGTAATTAAACCAATGTCTCTTCTCCACTTAAATCCACAGTGAAAAATAGCTAATTCTCCTTGTTCATTTTCTGTCACAATGCATGCATAGTAACACACAACCACACAATAGGCTAGGTGGGACAAAACCACTGTCTAATATAATTAGGTGGAAAGATTGATTCCTGAATCTTTGTTCATCGAATCAACGAAAACCCGACACATGTAATACGGTTAATGATGCAACACCTATACCAGAGATATGGAAATCTTTACTACCACTGAGAAAAGAGAATACATGGTGATAGGATTATGAAGATTAGATGTCGAAAGGAGTGTGAATACTCACGCTGACGTGATTATGCATGACAGTGACTTATTCTCTCAGTGTCATCCAATGAGTAAAGCTGTATCACTATGTGCTGTATATAGAATAAATGAATATAATATAGGATCAGCGTGATACCACTCATCGTCCTACCTCAATGTTACCATGTTTATCTAACAATCAAACTTTTTTTAGATATTTCATCCTCTTTAAGACTTATGAGCTCGACTCCAAGTTTGCAGATCCCTCTGATCTATCCGGTGAAATACTACAAATCAGCCTTGATGGTTGCTTACTACTCAAGTTGTTCGGTAGTAGTATCGTTTGCTATTTTGGCACTCGTTAGTTGATTATGTCTGTGTTTCAATCAGTGGTGGTATTCTTATTGCGACTAGGAACAAGTAACCATTGCTTTAAACATCGTGGCGTTATCCACTAGGCTATTTGGGCATGATAACCATCTTTTGTGCAACCAGTAGTATTTATTATGTAGTGATACTTGCTATTTCATTGTTACTGTGATGGATCAAAAATGATCTACTCTATCGGCATATGAGCTGCTAGGTAGATTCTTCGATATTCTTTACTTTACTTCATTGTAAAACAGTTTTTAAAAATTCTTCTACAAGAAATGTATATATTAACTAATCTATGGCTGGCTCCGGTGTGAATAGTGATACTGTGACTTACAGCCAAATCTTGATGAAAATTTTCTCTACGTAAAATAAATTTATTGATCGGCACATTAATATGAAGTCGCTTACCGTACTACTCAGTTGCTAACCTCTGAAAAGTGAAGTGACTGAGTAGAATGTTGACGTGTAGTGGGTACTATTGATCAGGATGGATATAAGTAGTATATATTGAGAGGATCACAGAAATCATAGGCAATTACTAGTAATCGGTAAGGATTCTACAAGTGACAAAGTGGTCGTATTAATAGGAAATCAAAAGAGAAACAGAAGAGGAAATGAAACACTATGTAAATCACAGTATTAGTGCAAGGTGTACCACATTTAATGACGACTGTACCACATATTAATAATAAACTTTCCTTCCATCCTCTCTGTCTGTACTGAACTGAATATGGTAATGACTATCCACTGAGCTATAAAAATTATCAGTAGACATAGATTAGTCTGTGACTGCAAAAATAAGTTTATTCCGCAAAGTATTTCACATCTATAGTGTCTTCACAAACATAAAATTGCTTTAAATGTCAAATATGAAATAGCCTAGTCTGATTGGTCCGTAATTGTCCAATTAGATTTATCCAAATTCCACAGTAGCATACATGAAAATTTCAAGCTGAATTATATCTAACTCAGTTCGAGGAACATTAGAAACCTGGGAGCACTGGAGAGTTGTTTCGTCCTAGTATGGAACTCCTCACCAGAGCGCATTCATGACCTCACCAGGGGTCTTGCCCCAGACCTTCAGGTTTCATGGCTATGTCGGGCTACGTCGTGAACTAACAGAGATTGAAAGTATAGACCATCAGATTCCTACCCAGTGACTCGATGGTAACGTGTTGGTCACAGAACCTGAAGGTCCTGGGTTCCACCCCTGCTAGGGTCATACGTGTACACTGCTGAAGAGTCTAAAGCTAGGACGAAACAGCTGTCCAGTGCTCCCAAGTTTCTAATGTTCCTCCAACTAATGTCAGTTTCTGATGGATTCCAACCTGAAATTGGTCAACAAGTCTCCACAAACCTCCAGGTTGAATTATATCTACTTCATAGGTAAATGACTTAAAATGTTGTTTTTGATTTTAGACGCTTCCTATTATTAGGGATTACTGAAAGTGGACTTAACACTTTGATAGAAGGTAAATGATAGTTGACAATGTTTTTATGGTAGAAGCGAACATCAGTTTAAGCTTCAATCCCTTCAGAATATACATCCAACCACTTCTTAAGAAAGCCAAAACTGTTATATACTCAGCGTGTACATAATGCAGTTATCTGACGCTGAATTGAAGCATTCAACTAAGTTGATCAGATTCAAGTCTTTTAAACAGTTTAGCTATCCAAACTGAATAATTCCCACTCTTCTCAAAGCAGATAACTCTAGCTAGACAAGAATAACAAAACCGCTAACTACTTTACTCACTCATTCCCATTCTTCAGCTCTATGAGGGCATTCTATATCTCAAGTTGTCAGCTGTAGGATACTATGAACCATTGGATTACGACTCATTGACTGAATATCAACTTGCCTGCCGTGAGAACTGACCTTCCTGGAGTGGATCCCTCAAGAGGTGTTGGGTGCCCACTGTTGAGGAGTACCCTTCTACGATTAAACAACTATCAAGCGTTTCCAGGTTGGGGAAGGTTCTTCTTGATACATACTATCTTTAAATAAATCAACCTCTAGAAATCACTGAATCGAATCTTCAGTTTACTACGAACTCAGTATCCCTTGACTTGTCAGTCAAGAGAAATCAGTTGTTCGTTGTCTAGTCCTCAGTGCTGACCCAGTACCATTGATCATGAAGCTAGGAAGCTCACCATTCCAGTGTACTCTGACGTATATTAGTTGGTTGAAGGGAATTGTCAAGAAGCGCTGGTCAACCCAAGTTTCTTGATTTTTGTCAGTCGCCAACAACGCACATCTACAACCTCTATGGAACTGATGTATTATATTATTATTTGTTCCTAGGGTTCGTGGTGGAACATGGGGCTGCAGTAGCACGCCACCGTTTCATTCTCTTCTCTGCTGTCTTTTAAAGCTGGCCCCACCACTGCGAATAACCTTTCATTTCTTTCTCACACGATCTCCCCAATAGCATTCTCGGATACCCAACCCATCGTTTCCCATTTGGCTTCCACTCGATGGCCGGCATGCTATTTCCCTGAATGGTCTTCTCAGTGTATGTCCATTCCATTTCATCTCCACTTTCTTCTGTATATCTGCTGGGCGATGGATTCTTAGTTAGTTCGTTGCCAGACCAGAGTTCCTTGTTGCTTATTCTTTCTGGCCATCTGATCTTCAGTATTGAGTGAGCGTAGGCGGCGGCTGTTCATGTGATGTATGTGTGCAGTTTGTTGGAAATGCTTTTCGTAATGCACCGCCAAATCTCTCAACCATCACATAGAAGAAATGAGTGAGTTCACTGAATTAGTGTTGGAAATCTGGATGTTGTTCACGTTTTATGTTGAGTGGAGTGGAGTGGAGTGCAGTAGACCTCCACACTGATGATTTCATATTAATGTAGAAGGGCTGTCTTGCTGTCTTTTAGATTCTGGCTGGCTTTAACATCCTCATCTATACCTGTGTCGCCTGTAGTTGAAACGTTGCTACCTGTGTAGGTAGGATTAGGTGTAAGAGACAACTTCTTTTAGATTTGTCGTGTTCATGGTGATTGGTGCTTGTTGTTGGTTGGTTGGGTATCTTCATCACCTCTATCTTCTCTACGTTCACCTGAACGAAGTCCCGTTTTCTTTTGCCAAGTTGTTAGTTTTCGCCTGTATATCTTTGAGTTTGTACGACATTAGATATAAATCATCATCATCGGCGAAATCCAAATCTTCTAGGGTCTCACCATCCTTCCAGTCAGTGTATGCCCATTTACTCGCTCCTCACAGTTTGTCGCATGATCCAGTCGACCACCATCAGGAAGATGATTGGTGATAGTAGACAACCTTGTCCCCTGTGATATTATCTAGTCATACAGGAGGTCATTGGCGGTACAAATAGCTCAGTGGTAACGTTGCTGACTGTATTGCTGGGTGATATCGGTTAAAATCCCAGAAGAGATATCAGTCCTGTCGAGGCTGGAGATACACCATTGTTGACGAGTGCCACCAAACATGAAACGTCGGTTGAGGAGGTTTAGCTTCCTGAGGATTGTCTCCGACCAGTCTGTAAGCCCAAACAAATTCAGAAGGGATTTACTTTAAGGTATTTTGCAAAAACGTTGGCATGAACAGGCTCATTTTGATTCGCAACTATGAGTAGGCTTATATGCACTCTCTAAAGGTAAATTTGTTTATCAATACATATTGAAAGGTGTCGCTAGTTTGAGAAAGTCACCTAATCGAAACTGGAAACACCGAAATAATCCTTAATACTAGTAACATAATGTTACTAATAAAGACAATAGGCGTCTATCAATCATTCCGTAGACATTCTTGTCCATTTGAAGAGTGTAAATATACTATACATCAAAAATTCACCATAATATTAATTTTCTTAAAATATCCCCTAGAGATTTCTCCTTGTTGTTTTATAGTCAGTTCAATCATTCAATCGTATGATATAAATTTTCTAGTTACCAATTAATGAAAAGTTAATTAAACACTAATGACGTAATACCTATCCCCTTGATCACATGATTCTCATTTATAGTCTATTTTACTTCTTATTCAATAGAGTATAATAATAACACCATAATTTTAAGTTGATTTTGGGAAATCAATATTATTGGTTAAATTGATTGGATAATTGAAATTAACCAATTATCAATCTTGTTGGCATTGGTAACACTTTTAATAGTCTTTTCAAAGATTTTTATCAGTGTAATTATGATACTTGAAGTTGAGATTTATGATTACTTTCATTGTTTTTCCTTTGATTATATTAATGAAAATATTCAAATCTGGCGGTCATTTATCAATTGAACATTGAACCTTATTAGATGCTGCATCATGTCTGGATTATTTAAAGCGTAGAGAAGTATTCCTTTATAAAATGATGAATGATCCTAGTCATAAAGCAATGTTATACTTTCTTGAAGTATTAATGAATTCTGATAGTCCTATAACAGTTGATCAATTAGCAGCACGTTTTTCACATAAATCCTTTAGTATAGAAATGCGTGAAGCATGTGGTGGAGGAAGTGCTGATGGTTTACGTGAATTTCTTCTACGTTATCCATCTTTATTTAATGTGAAACCAAATGGACAAGTTACATCAGTTGCTATTGAACTACCTGGATTGGATTCAAATTTTGATAGTTTATCTGATCAAGAAAGTTGTTCCATGAAAGAGAATTGTCAAAAATCAATCAATGATAATCTATCAGATAATTCAACTTCATTTCGAAATCATCCTGCCAACACTTCAGCTTATTCTTCAAAGACATGCCCAGTAACAAGTCTACAGAAAGATTATTCATACAATAATAATAATAATAATCGTTTCCAGGTTAATCGAAAGATGAATTCAACAAATACAGATAATTCATGTACTAATCACAATACTACTAACAAAAATAACAGTAGACTAACAGTGCTAGTTGTTTGTCGTTAACATCTTCTCAATCGGTCACTTCATTGAATGGATCATTGAATTGTGCTCAGAGTTCAATTGATCATATATTTGGACGTAAAAAGCCTTCAAGTAATTTCATCAATAATAACAATGTAACAACTAACAATACAACTAATGATAACAACAATAACCCAACTGTACGTGGTTTATCATCGACAAATCCTTCAACAGTGAGAACAAAATCTTCGAATATATATCAACCACCACAACTACGCAACTTAGAGCATACATCACAGATGGTTGTGACACCAACTTGTGAATTATGCTCTTCAAACACTACTAACCATCGTAATAATAACAGTAATAATAATTCTATGCCAGTTAATCATCATGAAATATCTACTATGCCAAGTGGAACATGTGTACATTGTCCATTGTTAGAACTGACATGTCATCATACACATCATTGTACCACTGCACATCATCATACTTCAACTCATTGTCATTGTACATCAACTCCTTTGGTTCCACCGACTACACCATCTTTTCATCATTATCATCATCCTGTTCATCATATACCAGCACAAACCACCTTAAGATCACCACCGATCTTGTTGCCTAATTGTTATACTCTACCACCAATGGAGAAATTATTACTGGAGAGTGAAGCAGTTCATTTTTTCAACAGAAATTAATTAAACGTGAAGAACGTTGGGTACCGATAAAAAGTTTAGCTGGTCATTTATCACAAGCAACTCCAGAGGTACGAGCTATAGTCGGTCCTCAATTAGAATTTCGACGCTTTCTACTCAAGCATCCACATGTTTTTGAAGTACAAGGTGACTTAGTTAGTGTAAAGGATCCATTCAGTGGAGGGTTTGCTTTGAAACGATCACGTGATCGTCTATCAGCTGTTCACGCAAGTCATTCGTCAACAAATATATCGAATACAACACAAGGTTATCTACCACGTAATATTTCTTATGAGAGAAATCCTCGGCCAAAGTCACTAATATTGCCAAATATGATGAATTTTGGACATTTATCGAATTTCTCTGATCTTAGCAGTTATTATACCCCATCATCAATACAACGTTCAAGTAATACCAGTAATTATCATCGTCGATCAGCACATTTTATTATTGATAGTTCTGTAAATAATCCACCGATTAAATCAATAATTCAATCAGAAAGTTTCAATTCAGCGCCAACAACACCTACTAGTTCAAATCCAATATTATGTAATGCTAATCGTGGTAATCAGACAGAGAAATCAATAGTTGAAAAATTGACTAATAATACCAATAATCATAATCATCATAATGGTGTCAGTTCATCAACAATAACTACTGAATATGATACATCTATATTGACAAATTCTTTACCAAGTATTACATCGAATACTACAGTGAATAGTTTAAGTTTAACTATGTCGGCAAATGAATATCGTGCAATTATGTTTTTACGTAAAGTATTAGATAAACAAGGTGGTGCTATTGGTCAAACTGGTTTAAGTCTTCATGATTTAATGCAATTTTTGTCAAATAAAGCACCTGAAACAGTACAAACAACTATTGGTTGGACAAAAATTGAATTAGAAGAATTTTTATGTGAACATAAATTATTTTTTGAATTGAAATCAATTGATCCCGATTCAAGTTTACATCATTCATCTAGTCATAATAATAATAATAACAATAATAATAATAATATTGATGATGTCCAAAATGAAGTGAAACAGAATCAATTAATGAATAAATCGAAATTAGAAGAGAATATCACTGTTTGTAATCGACGTTTAAATCGTATGATTAATATTATTATTACTGCATCAAGATTAAATGATTTGAATAGTGTTAGAACATTGACAAATCGTTGTGGAAGAATATTTCATGTAGCAAAATTATGGGGAATTATTGATTTAGGTAAACATGAACATGTCTTCTTTGATAAATCAATATTTCGTCATGTAGATGATTTACAAAAACACTTCAAAGTAAGTCGATACTTTGAATTCATCCCCCCCCCGCGGGAGGTTATTCTACATCCAGCTGATCAACATTTGTTGATATATGAGTGATGCTTTTATACTAGTTGATTATTGTCAAACTGCACTCTGACGGGACTCGAGCTTAGCACCCATCGCTTTAAACGACAAAATGTTGTCTGCTGGGTGACTGAGACATAAAAGTCACTTTTTGTTCATTGATATGTGTTACTTCTCGTCATTTGTTTACTAATGGATTGAATTGAACGACGTTTGTTGAAGCGATGAGTGCTTGGATAATATCACTCACTGAGGTGTAGGTATATCCAAGTGAAGAGTCTCAAGTAGACAGAAACTCACGTCGTCATGTCAGTCGGCTTTGTTTACTACTAAACATCGACTTTTTAGTTTCTTTTGTAACTGCATTTCTTGCTTTGTTGATTTCTACGTTGAATTCTCTTAGGAAGGTATGATTTTTCATTCGGTCATACGCTGTAGATGCCTTTAAGGAATGTATTAAGTTGAAGAAATACGGACTCCAAATTTTTCGTAATCGTCAATATAAACGGTTATCATTGTGGTCTGTACTATTTCCCTTTATCATTTCTACACAGAATGATAGCAGGTATGGAATATGGATTATTTTTTTGGGGTGAAATTACTCGTTAAGTTGTACCACTACTACTGATTCCAGCTGTACTAAACAACTTTTGAAGTAAATTGTTTCATTAGGTAGTCTGCTCAGGTGGATGCAGTTGGTTGAGTTAAGTCTTATTCGAGTTATCTGAAAACATTTTTCAAGGCTGATTACTGGTGTGAGCTGTAGTAAGTTGTAAACCAGTTCTAGGCAAGTAAAATAGCGACAGTGTGGCAGGAGGTCAACCGCAGCCCTAATAGCTCAGTGGTAAAGACGTTGATTACAACACTGGTGATGCGGGTTCAAATCTCAGGCGGGACATCAGTTCCGTCGAGGTTGTAGGTACGCCTTGCTGACGAGTGCTAAAAACCATGAAAACTAGGTCCAGAGCTTCCTGACGATTGCCTCCAACCAACTAACAGTATGGCGAATCAACAGGTTGCTGAAGGTTGGTCAGGAGGGAATCTCAAACTGACTTCCGACACGTCATCTCTGTCACAAAAGATAGTTTGTGCAGCACCGATCTGATCAGTGGTGTACGCGAAAAAATTCAGCTGATGGAGCCAAATATTTCAGAAGGAGAGAATTAGGCTGGCTGACTATCTTGTATCAGCATGCCTTAAATAGGATGATCAAATTGTATCATTCAAGTTGAAATCCAACTCACATTGCCAAATTTACTCATGTACACTGCAGATGAACTCAGCCATGAACCGAAAAAAGGTCATTTGGGATTCCGATCACTTTGAAATGTAAAACAAAATCGTCAGAGCAAGTGGTTTCTAGCTACCCACTTTGTTCAGGACATTCTTCGCATCAGTTATCTGTGAGTGTACTTAATGAATGACGACTCTAAGTGACGTAGATAAGCAGTAGTAGTAGTAGTAGTAGCGTATTTAACTTTTCCACTTCACATGAATGAAGTCTATTTACGAGAATCGGAGAGAGTTTGCTTGAGGAGAATGACTGGTTCCTTGTTCCCAGATGATTCTCTTTCAAAAACCCAGTTACTTATTTGTGATAGCGATTAAGACAGTTGTTTGCTTTTGAAAAACCGAACAAAAGACCTTTTGAAAAGGAGCTTTTCACTTGTTGTCTTTTTGAACAGTAACTAGAAGGGAATCATACGTTAAAACCTGCTGGTCACCTGCAGGTAACTGAAGTGGCAGTTGTCTTCTTAGCAGTCACCTCTGTAAGTCATTCAGTCGAGTATCTAGTATGACCAGTAAGCTGATTGACCTAACACTGAAGTGCACTGTGCTTTGGAGTTACGTTTGTGAATCAGTCATCAGAAAGCTCTCCTTAACCTGGATTTCACACTTGTCGCCACTCATCAGCAAAGTATATCTACAACTTTGAGAAAAATGGGGCTCCTAAGAAGACTGAAACACATGTCACTTAACGCTGAAATCAGAGTCTTGGTTATTAGGTAATTCTGTCTGCGGATGACCCCCTCAAATACCTGAAGTGTAAGCATTATTATGATTGATTTTACATTATCTAGAAGCGCACTTTTTCAAAAGGTTCATCCTAACGTTCAAATCAAAGTTCCGCTCCTCTACAAGTCACCAAGATTAACAAAACATTATGAATATCCGGCAGCATCGAGGCATTCGCATAGGAGCCCATCTACCAACAGAGGTCGGGCAATTCGGCCCTACATAACAACGGGAAATTGCAAGTATCATTACAACAACTAACACCCATTGCACAACAGGTGGTTGTCGTACCCCACTGGCTTAGTGAATAATGCTGTGGTGTTTGAAGCGAAGAGTAATGCTTTTAAACCTCAGTGGGAAAAACATCACTGTGTGACGTGCAGGTGTGTCCGGCTGATGAGTCCCAAGTAGGACGAAGAGCGCATCGTGGATTCTCCTACTGGTCACCAAAATCAATATTCTGCTCCATTTATTACGCGCAGTATTCCCCTCTGACTAGTTGTGATCGAAGAAGAAGAAAACTTCACTTTTCATCTTTACTGGCTTTTTTATCTGCTCAAACATACAATAGATGGGTTTCTAAATGTATGTTCCCATTCACTACCGAGCAACCGCATTTATGCGCACTAATGTACTAACCGTTCTGGCACTGATTTATTGTCCCGAGAAGGTTTTATGTGTCCAGAAGCGATATAAACTTGTAAGACACTTAAAAATACCCTTCTGTTGCATCATATTTCAGTAGATGAGATGGCTAATTACGAAACTATTCAATGTAGTTTCCTCACCCTAAGTTGGCCAGTAAAACGACGAAAGTTTAGATTACCTAATTATGGTCAGTAGGAGCTAGTGACTAACATAAGTGGTTTACAGCTGCCCTCCCTAGTCAGTAGTGTATACCTTTAAACTTGTTAGGTCTGTCCTTTCCATCTACGTTTTGATACACTGAAAATTTCCACTCTCATGTTATAGATTTTAGTTTTCCGCTGTTTAGTCGATGGAACTGATGAACTAGTACTGACAAATGTCAGTCGATAGTGGAATTCTAGGCACATGATTCATCCTGCAACAGGCGTAACCATAATCATTCACAAGGAATGGTTATCTTGTATCAGTGGCCCAGTGAATAGCGCTCTGATTTTTTGGTAATTCATTATGAGTTCGATTCTCAGTAGGATTAGTATCATCTACTGGGGTGTTTACAAGCGTCACAGATGAGGATGTCAAAACCAGGATTAGAAAAGCAAGACAGGCTTTTACTAATCTGAAATCAGTGAGGAGATCCACTGCACTCCACTCAGCACAAAGAACAAGATCCGGGTTTTTAACACCAATGTCAAGTCAGTGCTTCTATATGGTTCAGAAACTTGGCGCCTCATGAAAAGCACTTCTAACAAACTACAGACATTCATTTACAGCTACTGTCTACGCTCATTCAATACTGAAGGTCAGATGGCCAGAATAATAAGAATAATCAACAAGGCACTCTGTTCTGGGAACGAACCAACGAAGCAAGAACCTATCACCCAACAAATATGCAGTAGAAGGAAGTGGAGATTGATTGGGCATACACTGAGAAGGCCAACTGGGGAGATCACGTGCCAGGCCAGGTCATCGAGTGGAATCCAAATTGAAAACGACGAATTGGGCATCCGAGGTGACGGTGACATGGAGGAGATCTTATGAGGAAGAAATGAGAGCTTGTGGGCAGTCGTGGTGCCAGGTCCCAAAGACCACAAAGAAGAGAGTGCAATGGAGACGTGCTATTGAAACCCTATATTCCACTAGAAACCCAATGTAAAGATAAATAGTAATGAATCTATTGGGGTGTAGGTGAAGCAAACTGAAAAGTCACAAAAAGACGAAAATTACATCTTGGACTTCATTATTGACCAAAATCCAGCATTATTTTCAACTCTTATGTTGCTCAAACATACATAACTAATGGGTGTCTGTTACAGTAGAGTACACGTACTAGATTGATAAGGTAAATATCTGCACCTCATTTTGTAGATGTTTTGGCAGCTTTTTTTCTTCTCCGAGTTTGGGTGTTCACGGACAAACATTACTTCCGACTGAATCTGAGGATGATCATAAGGATTACTTCAATCGAGAGAGAGAGAGTTGGGGTGGGGGGAGAGAAAGAATGGAGTTCCTTGTGTATCTCATCTTTATTGATACTTCTATTGGTGATTCGAAGCTGATCATTCAGTAAAAGTGTTTAGGAGAAGAATAGTGTTTTGTTGACAGTATCGACTCATTCTCGATATCTGTTCATGTTGTACGTTTCATAAGTATTTTCCCACTGAGAATCAATCTTTCTGGGGGTATCACCGATAAACGAACTAGTGCTTATTTACATATCATTATTCAAAGAAGTTTTAAAAAATGTCTGTTCTTGTAATTCAAATGCATTGGTAATCTGTGACCTCAAAATTATTTTTATTTTTTCGAACTACTGAAACAATTTAAAGTAGTTTAGTGCAAATGTAATTAACTTCCTAAATGATACAGGTTATTTTCGGCGGTTTATTGAGCTTTTCAATGTGTTTATGTGTATATGTTCTGACCAGGTTAAATTGATCAGAGATTCAAACACTTTTCGTGAATATTTATATAACAAAGATGTTGAACATTACATTGAATTAAGTTTAATAGTTTGAATGAATAATCTACTTATTAATTTCATCTATTGTTGATGAAATATATATTGAAGATATTAGTAAACTAATTGTATGGAGGTGTAGTTGAAAAAGCCATTCATCCATATTAGCTTAGATTGGAATGCCTATGTAAGCATTTAAACACGAAACTCTGTTAGTAAGGTCTCTTTAACTTGCTGACATGTATCAGCTTATGCTAGTTGGAAACTAGAAGTAATTCGTTATATTGTACTCATCTTCGTAACTAGCAGTGGATTTCAGGATTGGGTT